CATCAAGCAGGGCTGAGGTGAGCGATGCTACCATGAATTGCATCTGACTCCATTACTTGACTCCATCTTTTAACTCTCATGCTCTCCATGGCTTTACTATAACCTCTACTTATCGCTGTACAATTGCACCTACCGAATCTGTGATGTTTTGTGGGGTTCCCTCTTCCCTCTAACCCCACACCCTGGGCAGTGGGTCATTCCAGTCTGGCCCTATACTGAGAATTTGCTTTTCTGTCCAGATAGATTGAAGCAGAGTCCACATTTCAATAAGATCCCCTGGTGATCCTTATGTATATATAAGGCCTTATTAAAACATAGATTCTAGTTCGGTTTATCTGGGTAGGAAAGGCACATTCTCAGCAGTGGTGGAATGGAAATGCATGATTGGAAGCTCTGGTTAGCTTGCTGTCACGAACAAGAGTCTGGAGAGTCTAAAGCAGACGGTGGGTTGGTGCTGGGCCTTGACCCTGTCTGGAAAGGTGTTAGAAGCAGGTTCTTCTCTGACACCAAGCCTGGGTCACATTTTCAGGGAAATGGCTCACGATTGTGTAATCCATTGGTGCTGAACACCTACTTTCTGCACCATTTATCTTCTTTTCAATTTAACCAACTCTTTTGCAGTATCTGTGCCTGGCACTGTGCCATGTGCAGAATAACAGGAAAGCACACAGGCAAAGAGGGGAAAAAGATATACCAATAGCAAATAGGAAAATGGAACTAATTTAATATGCATTGTGACAGTGACATGAGGAAACTAGCAAGTCCAACAAGTAGTTAATAAGTCATAGGAGACCCTGGTGTCTTAGCACACGTCAGACGCAGTCATGCAGCAGAAGCTAATGCTAAGAGTAGCAAGATTATCTCGAAATGTTCTTGATGAATGCATTATCTTTTCATTCTACAAAAATGAAAGACAGGGAAATAACTTTAGAGGAAATCACATGAGAACGAGCACAATAGACAGTTATGGTTCCTCAGGAAGAAATAGAGAGATGTTATCCGTCTTGTAAGGATGTTTTAGACATCTTGCGAGAAGTGGGATGGGTACAACCAGGCCACTCTAGTGATTACACTGGATTGGATCTAGAGCACTCTCGGGGGGTGAGGGGGGGGTTGAGTATTACAACTGTTTTATGAGAAAATTACTCCTGCCTATATGTAACAGGTGGGTTTAAATATTAACTTTCTCTATTCATATTTTAATATTCAGAAGACTATTTTGCAGATAAGTGACCAGTAAACTCTCATCAGGGAAAAAAATAAAATAAATACTCTCTTCTGGATTTGTATTTCTGGAAGTAGAAGGTTAAGGAAGAACTTCTGGCACAAGAAAATAGGCGTTGCTTGAAGATGCATGATTTTAAGAAAAAGACGTGCTTTCTTCGTGGAGGTCAGCACGATGGCTATGAGGTGAGCAGTTGGAGCAAAGGTAAACCTGTGGCTCATGCTTTCATTTAATGAAAGCGTTTTATTTGGGGGATAATTGCCGATTCAGATGCAATCGTACATCACTATACAGAGAGGTCCTGTGTTTCCTTAACACGGTTTCCTCCAAGGGTAGCATCTAAAAAAAGTGTAGCAGCATGATACGTGCTTTCCCCGCGGAGGGGGAATTATCTAAGTCCTGCCGTGGTGGTTGTAGGGCCTTCGGGTTGGTCCTGACTCATTGAGACCCTGGAAACCACAGAACAAAACGCCGCCCGGTCCCGAGACAGCCTGAGAATTGTTGTCCTGTTTGAGCCCACTGCGGCCGCCACTGTGTGTCAATTCCTACTTGCAGCTGTCCCTTTACTTGACCAAGGAGCCCAGGTATGGGAGTGCTTACTCATTGGGCTGTGACGTGAAAAGATCAGCAGTTCAAAACCACTAGCAGCTCCAAGGAAGAACGATGGGGCTTTCTACTCATTCATGTCAACAGTCGCAGGAACCTCACGGGCCGCTCTCCGCTGTCCTATTGGGTGCCTGTATGTTGGCACCAACTCGACAACAGGGAGGTTGCTTTGAGTTTTCTACTTGACTAACATGATGTCCTTTTCCAGCAACTGATCTCGCCTGACAACAGTCCACAATCTGGGAGACAGTCTCGCCAGGCTCGTTTCTAAGGAGATCAATACTGTAGGTGACTCAGATCAAACCCCATCGTTAATTGAGCTGCACAGCATCCTGCGCAATGGGTATGCTGTTCAGTTGGGTGGATTTGATCCAAATATCCTTTACACAAAGCAACAAAATCTTCTTCCTCCAACAGGCTGGAGAAGTTATTAAGTCACTTGGCAATCTGAAGAGCTACAGACAAACTTTTTAAGTGAAAATAATTTAGACGTTGCTGCTAAAGAAAAAAACACTAACTAAAACCAAAACGAAACACAAGGTGAGTAGGGCACCCAAGTCTCCAAATTACCATACGCTGAAACTCTTTTAGGAGAATAAATATGCAATTCCGTGTTCTTGCTCCCAATTGCAGGGGGCTGGTTGTCCCTTTTCAGAACCCCGACTGTAGAAGCAGCTCGGTGTTTTTATGAGCTATTGGCTGGTCCATCTAGTATTATGTCATTAATTTTCCAGTAATAAGTACAGCTTGTGAAATTACAGGGGTTTGTTTCTGTTTCTCAGAAAGCTGTACGTCTTCTGAAATCCCCGAGACAAGATGCCTTTCGCGTCTCTAAAATCAAACATCGGAACTCAGACATGCAACAAGTTGTGGATCACTCCAGGAAGTCAGCAGAGTGACAGAGACTGATAATCAGCTTCTGGAAGACCAAGGTCATGAATCAACTTTCACTGAGTGAACCCTTTATGGTCTAAAGCCTGTCATTGGTGACACAGAGCCGAAAGCTGTCACTGAAACTTGTTATCTGTGCAGAAGGCTGTCAGGCGCTGCAAGTCAAGTAGAAAACTGGATCAGAGAGCCCAGGGAATTGCCTCTGGCAGGCTGCTGGAATGTGGCATTCAGGTGGCACTCAACTCCACACAATCATCACACTCAGTGTGGCCACGCCCCCGAACTTGCTTGGGAGCCCCAAGCTCCCACTGTCTAAGGAGTCAGACTCCCACCGCTGCGCTTCTCCAGAGGACCCCCATGTGTGGGATATGAAAGAGCACCAGCAGGGGAGAAAGTCTGGGCTCCAGCAGTAAGAGTAGGGGGGTGGGAATGAAAACGTATGTGCATGTAACTTTACAGACATGCATGCTTTCCCGGAGCAGTTGCTCAAATGGGTAAATCAAGGCATTAGAGGGGTAACCTGACACAAGGCAGGAAGGAGAACAGGTGATGAGGGCATTATGAGAAGAAGCCCAAAGCCAGAGACCACTGTACCGAGCGAAGGAGAAGCGATTTCATGAACACGACAGGTCAACTCAAATGAATTAGTCACGAGTAATCTTGGACAATGGTGGTCTAGAGAAGGAAATGGTATCCCCAAAGCTGCATGCACAGCCAATGAGGGGAAAAGACAACCAGCCGTAGGACCCGCAGCATGAAGGGGCCCAACAGGTGGATGGTGAAGTCAGCTTTAGCCCACCATGAAGGTTTGGGGCAGCCAAGGGTCCTGAAAGGGATCATGGAGTGGGTGGTAGTAACTTCTTTGGTGATAAGGGGTTGATTTAAAAAGACCAGAAGAAAGAAAAATTGAAAATTGGCTAGTGTATCAGGCGATGGTGGGTGAGTAGACTAATTCTTCTTGTGCAAGCAGGAGGGCTGGGTGTGATTCCTGGCCAATGCCCCTCACACAGAGCTAACACCCGTCGCTGCTGTGTAGCTGTTGATGCCCGACACGTTTCAGCAGGGTGTCCAGACCACGGCAGACTAGGAAGTAAGCCTGGTGATTTACTTCTGAAAACCAGCCAACAACAACCCCCTGGGATCACAAGGGCCCCACGCCATGTATAATCCACTGCAGGGATGGTGCGAGATGGGGCTTCATGTCCTTCCATTGTACATGGGCTGTCCTGAGAGTGGGGCTAATGCAGTGGCAGCTAGCAATAATAAAATACGAAAATACGATTTAAAAAAAATGTCTAGGCACTAACAGAACCCAAGCATGAAAGAGATTTAATGAAACATTTACATGTTTATTTTCAGATTGGACACAGAAAGGCCTTCTCTTGTTGCTTAACATGGATGATCCAGGTACTAAGAACTGCACCGCAGTGACAAATGATGGCAGGCAGCTCGGTACCAGAGCCATGGTGAAAAGATGAGGCCTCACATTCACAAACACAAGAGGGGTAAGGTAAAATGATGTGGAAAGATCAATCTGCTGTCTGATACACAGGGAAGAGAAACTGTTCTTCTGTGCTCTGCTGTCCTAAAAAATGTTAATGAAGCAAAACTGCAAGGGAGACAAGACTTTGAATTATTTCCTTTTGTGAGTTTGCCCAACTGAACCTTGGGGTAGGGTGAGAATGTTCTATAAGTACACTGCCACAGATGGTAGCCACCGTCATGTATAGCCAATGACCACTTGAAATGCACCTAGTGACACTAAGAAATTGAACTTTTAATGAATAAAAATCAACATTAAACTAGCTGCGTGAGGACCCTATTGGACTACACAGGTTTCTGAAAACCAGGGCCATACCTGGCTCCCTTGGGTGGGAATGTAAGGGCAAATTCATTCTCCATCAATGAACAGCCATAACAACAATATCAAGCATGCACATAGCACGATGCGACAGAACTAGTCAGTCTACTTAATGCAGTGACTCATTTAATCCTAACAGTCCTGAAGTCGACAGTATTTTATCATCGTAGTTTATTTAACAGAGTGCAACGTGGTTTTTGAAAACGAGAGGCAATGAATGATTAAGCAATGTGTCCAAAGTCACACAGTACATCAAAAGTCGGCTTGCAAACCAAGGGCCGATTCCAAAACTCTCACTCAGCGATGGGTTCCCCAGAGCTACAGGCACTCCTTCAGGAGCGAGTCGCGGTTCAGGTGGCTAGTGACCGCGAGACAGGCTTCTTGCCAATCCGAGCAGGTCAGGACGACACAGCCTACCTGTTTTCCCGGTGTTCTTCATCCAGGTTTTGTTGGAGGACTCGTTGTCGAAGCCATCGAGTTGTAGGTCCTGGTACTCGTCGCCAACACGGGCATGCTGGTCTAGAATGTCGATAGGAGACTGGTGACGGCCCCCACAGCTGACACTGGATGTGACCCAGTGCTCAGGACCATAGGCACCTGTAAAAGAAAACGACAGCACTTCAGTCCTGATGGCTCGGGGTTTACAGTTACAGATGGAACAGGTGAGACTGTAGAAGCCCAGGCCAGTGTCTCTTAGATACATTTTCTACATACGTCTACTCCAGAGACACCAAACTCTCTCTCACTGCCATTGAGTCGATTTGGACTCAAAGGGACCCCCTGCACTACAAGGCGGAACTGTCCCTGTGGCTTTCTAAGACTGGAACTCTTCACAGGAAAGCAAAGCCTTGTCTTTCTCCCCCAGAGACACCAGAGTACGGGGCTCAAGCACCACCTGCTTGATATGACAAGGAGAGGGAAGAAAAGATAGGTTTGCTTCTTGAGTGGCATTCAAACATTTGCTACCTTCATCTTTCACCAGATTAAGGGAGTTGCCAAGAAGGGTTGTCAGAGTCCTTCCCATTTAAAACATATCTCAAGAAGTGTTCTAAAATAGGTAGTGCATTCATTGACAAGAAAACACAAAACACCATTGAGATAGTTAGTTTATTGTGCCAGCCTGACCGATAGACACATCTGGGATTAATTGAAGGGCGGAGAGATGAATGGCTCTGCGAGCCTCGCCTTTCTTGTCTCTCACTCTTTGATCATCAGAGCAGTGTGTGGCTGCCTTGCTTGGTCTGTACCTCAATTTGCAAGCTACACTACTTGTGGGACACCTAACCTGTGGAGTGTGTCGCTGTAATTTGAGGTTCCTTCAAGACCTGCTTTGCCACACAATTGGAATTTACATCTCTTGAGCTGGGGATTGACTGTTGGTGACCTGCCTTGCGGTTTGCTGCTGGTGCTGGGATAGCCTGACTCTCTCTACAGAGGACTACACGGCGGCCCTCAAGACTTGAAGGACTGCCAGTGTTTCATAACTCTCTAACATGTTTGAATTATACTGAGCCATTTGTACTGTTTTATAATTTAACTGTTTATTTCTTGTGTTATATCTATCTATCTGTATAATTGCTTTATAATTTAACTTTTAATTCTTGTGTTATCTATCTATCTATCTATCTATCTATCTATCTATCTATCTATCTATCTAATTATTAGCAATCTGGTTTTATCTCTCTAGAGAACCCTGTCTAACACATTTTGGTACCGTAATCAATTCAGAATGCCGTGTTATCATGAACAGTATCTTAAAGACGTAGACGGTTCTTAAAGCACAGGAGTTAGTCAACAGAAAAACAAAAACCCCAAATCAAAAGAAGAAAGCAACCCCAAACATGGGTGCGAAGGATGGCCTGTCCTCCGGCAGAGGGCACCTGGTGGCGGAGCTGGCACCCGTGCACACGTCTCCTCCTCACTCCCTCTCTCTGAGGAGAAGAGCAGTGAGGTCCGATAAGTTCCTTTCAGATTGGCCTCCCTCCGTGCTCATAAAGACAAAGACTTTATTGGGACCTGCCCCACAGAAATGAGGGGGAAATGTTCCCAGGAAGCATCATTCTAACAGGGGGTAGACCATGGAATAACTCCAAGCAGAGAACACGCCACATCTGCCTCACTGCCCATTTAGAGATGAAATATGATCGGGGCAGAGTCTATTAAGAGCTGATAACAAGTCGTGAGCTGTTTCTGCACTCTAGCTTGAACCGTCTTGCTTATCAGAGCAGAAACAATTTGTTAAAAAGAAACAACCTTTATTAAGCTAACACCCTTTTTTTTGAGAGCCAGATACAACACAGTTAAGTCTGAACTTCAGAAACTTTAGAAGATAAACCTCAGTCAGTAAAGCTTAGCATGTGTATATGCCTGAGTATACATACACAAACTTACAAACACACGCACACAGACAAGGGGCTTTGAAAAGTTGAAAGGATAATGGAAGTATCCCATGAATTCCTTGAAGCCCCTCGTATGTATAACTCCTAGGCTTTTTAGCTTTCAGTTCCTTCAGAGATCATGCAGAAGGGGATGATTAGCCAAAGTATTTTGGGAGAGCAACACTGCTACCAACCAGTATTCCTGTGCCCTCACGACGTATCTAGGCTTGGGTGGTGAAAGGCAAGATGCAACTTAAACTCCAGTCTCCCCCTGACTGAAGAAGAGCCTATATCTGTGCCTGTTATCACTACAACACTTTGTCATTATCATTTCTTCTCCGCTTCGTCTTCTCTCCATTCACAGCACATATAAACAAGGATCGCATGGGAAAATGGGGCAACCACACACACTCTCTTCTTATGGGAGTGGATGCTCTGCAGCTGCAAGAGTAACTGGTGTACCTTCTGAAGGCTGACTCCTGTCCTTGTTCTCTGGGAAGCAAACCTGGGGCTTGCTCTCAGTCTGGGTCTTTTCTCCTCATTCTCATGGCCAAGTGTGATAGAAAAAGACCATCAGAAGAACACGTCCACTAGTTAGCAAAGGTCTAGCGACATTAGGACACTTTCAAAAATCATTTAAAAGTGCTATTAATACCTTCTGGAAAAGTTAAACCTCACAATTGTCTTTACTGAAGAACTCTGACTACATTAGGAAAGGTCAATGGTTTCTCACCTCCTGGTCAAACACACCCAGACTGTGCTGAGTTCTAATGGAGGAGAGCGTGCAGTTGCATGCAAAGAGGGGTGGGGGGTGGGGGGAATCTGCTCGGTTTTGAGCAAACTTTGTTTGCATTTTACATTCGTCTAGGTGAAGACAAAGGGAAAGAAGGAGGCCCCATGAGTAGTTCCAATGACATGTCTACCACCGACGTTTCCTATGAGATACTAAAGGAATCCACTGAAAAACGGAATACAGTACAGTCATAGTTGTTTACCTGACATTGTCCAAAGCATAAAACATGATGAGCCACAACTGGACCTGTATCCTCAAATTACGGAAATTCCTCCTATTATTGGTTGACTGGCGATATAGAGAACACAACATGATCAATCCTAACACAGACAACTCCAAAAGAAATAAAAAGGCAAGCTGTAATCTGTAAAAACAGAGACATCATAATTATCCTAATAACAAAATATATACTGCAACCACTGAAAAGTAGCTGCTGTTCACATTATTTCTTAAAGCTACCCAAACACAGATGAAATAGAATTCAGCACTCTATAAAAACATAATCAAGGTTTTTACCAGTAGGATTCATTTGTTCACTGGTAACAATCTGCAGATTTAAGCCAAATCCGTGCTTGCTTTCGCACTTTTCGCACTTCCACCCAGTATACGTTCAAGTGCAATTTTAATTGAAACTGATCTTCCACTTCAGATTTTAAATTAATTCTTCTTTGGAGTGCTTCATGCTCCATACACCCTTGCTTTGCAAAAACTCTTATGTCATTAGTGGAGGAAATAGAACACTTTTCCCAAGCTTGCAGGTATTGATTACCTATTCTCACATCAGAGCACCGCTGCCATTCCACACTGTATAAATCTCTCCAGTGTAAAACACTTTATAAAGGACTGAGAATTATATCATTAATCATTTGCAGTTGTCCAAGTCGCACCATATTGAATGCTTTGTTTTTCAGAAGTTTGAATACATGCTCTTAAGTAAAAAACATGACACTAAATAAAGACTATTGTTTAACTTAAACCTGGTTTTGTTTTGCTTTTGGTGAAAAAGCAATCAGCCATCAGCCATTCCCATCCCAGGCAGGACACTGTCTATCAGAAAGAAGGACGGCCAAAGTCCTTTGCAGGCAGCTTCCTCTGACTGGTTCTTTGTGAGCCTGAGCATGATGTCTTTGTCTGGGGGCCACCCTTTCTGAGCAGCTCACCAGCTGACATACCAACCAAGACAAGGCTGCTTCCAAAGGGGGATGCTGGGTATATGGTGGGGACCACAGGGCAGACTGGCTCCTAAAAGCCATCTCCTATTCAACTGTTAGATAGATAGGTGTTTAAAAAGTGAAATCCTGGTGGAGATGTATGGTCAACCTGTAAGCACCAAGGCTTCCAGAAGGTTTTCGATCTTCTAGTTTCTATGAATCAGAATGGACCGGAGAGGAGTGCTTTTCGAAGTCCCAAGGGGAGTGGACAGTGTTTCTTACTCAACCTGTGATGACAAGTGTTTTCTCTTGAGAGTGTTTCATGAACACAGCTGAACCCCCGGCTAACGGCTGCTTCAGGTTAGATGCCCTTTTCTGTGACGAAGGTTCATGGCTATACTGCTTGGGGCTACACTGAGCCCTCAGCTCCCAGCATGCCTCCCACATGATTTATATGTACAACAAGCCCCTGGCGGATTTTTAAAAAATAAATCAATTGGAAGAAAATATTAAAAAACATTAAAATCACGATGGGACGTTTTCTGGGCATTGAGTTTGATTTTACGTTTATGCGCCCACCCATGAGCCTCTTCTTAAATCTTTCTCATTTCTTTGGTGTCGGGATGTGCCAACTTCAAAGTAAACGCTCCTTTTCCTTATTACCTTAGGCTGAACCGCGACGGGTAAAACAAACTATAAATATGTGATGTGCATTAAAGATTGTGCAAACTTAACAACCCCACCAAGGGCGACCTTTTTAAAATAAAAGAATCACTGCTTAACACCTTTTTTATAAAGCACACTTCCTTTTAAAGCTCTCTTCCTCCCCAACCACTATGTTTTCATAACCAAAAATCCAAACCCACTGCCATTGTGCTAATCCCAACTGATACCCTGTTTCCCCGAAAATAAGACAGTGTCTTATATTAATTTTTGCTTTCAAAGATATGCTAGGTTTTATTTTCAGGGGATATCTTATTTTTCCATGAAGACGAATACGGTACACACTTATTGTTTCTTGTTTTATTAAAAGAGACCTCACACTACCTGTCTACTCCAGCTGTGCTGTGGCTGCCACTATGGTCCAGAGTCCAGAGTTACGCTAGCTTAAGGGGGCCTTATTTTTGGGGAGGTCTTATTTTTGAGGGGATGCCTTATATTTCAGCGAGAGGCAAAACTGTAAGTAGGTCTTATTTTCCGGGGATATCTTACTTTCGGGGAAACACTGTAGCAACCCAGTAAGAGAGTAGCATTGCTCCTCTGGGAATTCAAGAC